TACCCCTCCCCTACTTGCTCTCTCTTAAAATAAACTTTAAAAAAAGATAAGGAAAAGAACGTGCCACACAGAACTAGCATAGAGTCCCAAATTTCCCTTAGATTTGTTACCAGTACTGATGCATTTACCTGGATGGGCCACCATGTCTGTCGGTGGATATTCAGTTAACTATACATAATTCAGGCCCAGAAAGTAGCCAGACTCTCCTTCAGATCTTGACTTCCTCTTTGAGCTTCCCTTTAGATTCAGGCCTCTGTCAGATGTGACTCATTTTGAAGACCCTGTAATACTCAATTCCTTGACCTTCCATCATTTCCCTGGGTCAGTCCCAGACCTTGTCTGCCCAAAATTGCTCCTTCTCTGAATTCAAACTCTGTAGTTATATTCCAACCACCACCCTCCTTCCTCCTACATGGCCTTACCTTCCATCTTGTCTTTAACGTCAGGAAGATCTTCCATTCTTGAAGATGATTACTCTTATCCATTCACTCCGGAAACTATTCAGTATCTACCAGCTACTTTGGTCTAGGTTTTCAAAGCGTGGCCTCGAGGTCAGCAAGAGCAGATCCCAGAAGCTTGTTAGAAATGAAGTCTTGGACCCATCACAGATGTACTGAATCAGGAACTCTGGAGTGGGGCCCAGCAGGCTGCAGTTTAATGAGTCCTTCAGATGATTCTGATGATCAATCAAATTTGAAAATTACTGCTCTAGGGGCACCTGGGTGGCTCACTTGGCTAAGTGTCTGACTTTGGCTCAGGTCACGGTCTCGCCGTTCATGGGTGTGAGCCCCGTGTTGGGCTCAGTGCTGACAGTTCAGAGCCTGGAGCCTGCTTGAGATTCTGTGTCCCACTCTCTCTGCCCCTCCCCTGCTCTCTCTCTCTCTCTCAAAAATAAATAAACATTTTTAAAAAATTAAAAAAAATTACTGGTCTAGGTCTTAGGTCCTCTTGGCTTCGCTCCACCCACTGGATCTCAGAACTATTTCCACCACATTTTCGTGGCAACCTGTTATTGACCTTCCAAAACCTCTCCTTACATCAAATCCCAAATGCAGATCAACCCAGCCATCCGTTTCCCTCGTTTGTTCCAAAGCTGCCTAGAGTTGTCGATGTTATTTCGCCTTCTACTACCTTCTTAGCCCTCTGCAATTTTGCTTTTGAAGGCATCTCCCTAAAGTTCTCCACTACCGGTGTTCAGTTGCCCACTGAACTTGTGTGAAATGGAACTCAACATCTTCCACTTCAGAACATCCTCTTTTCTTTTTTTTTTTTTTTTTTAACTTTTTAAGCATTTATTTATTTTTCAGAGGCGGGGCTCTGAGCTGTCAGCACAGAGCCTGAGGTGGGGCTCGAACCCACAGCAGTGAGATCATGACCTGAGCTGAAGTCGGACGCTTAACTGGCTGAGCCACCCAGGAGACCCAGGACATCCCATATTTTCATCCTTCCACCAAATAGTGCCAAGCTAAAGCCTGGGGTTTGGGGCAGGGTTATCCTGACACTTGCTTTTACTCGGTCCCCATATCCATCCCACACAAGTTGTCTGATTGGATTTCTCAGATTTTTAAATTTTTAATTATTTTTTTTACTGTTTATTTTTGAAACAGAGAGAGAGAGAGAGAGAGAGAGAGAGAGAGAGAGTGTGAGTAGGGGAGGGCCAGAGAGGGAGACACAGAATCCGAAGCAGGCTCCAGGCTGTCAGCACAGAGCCTGAGACGGAGTTTGAACCCATGAACTATGAGATCATAACCTGAGCTGAAGTCTGGTGCTTAACTGACTGAGCCACCCAGGAACCCCTCTGAGATTTCTTTTTAAGTTTATCCATTTATTTTGAGAGAGAGAGAGAGAGAGAGAGAGAGAGAGAATGTCCCAAGAGGATCCATGCTAATAGCCCCAGTGCGAGGCTCAGTCTCATGAAGTGGGAGACCATGACCTAAGCCAAAATCAAGAGTGGGGATGCTTAACCGACTGAGCTAGCCAAGTGCCCCTGGATTTATGAGATGTTTAAAGCCTGTTCTCTATTTTTTTACTCCTAGAGCATACCTTGTTTCAATTCCCTTGCTCTCTCACCTGGATTCATATAAAATCGAACTGGTTTCCAAGTGTCTGGTCAATTTCAGCTCCATTTATCCTCTAGACACTGGTTTTAAGAAAGTCTCTAAAATGACTCTCTGGATTGGAGCACCTGGGTGGCTCAGTGACTTAAATGTCTGATTCTTGATTTTGGCTCAGGTCATGATCTCATAGTTCGTGGGTTCAAGCCCCGCATCAGGCTCTGCACTGACAGTGCACCTACACATGTCTGTCCTGTCTTTTCCTTGGAACAGGTCACTTTCCCTTCCCACTGCATCGCTGCTCCTCTGCACCTCCCAGCCTCCACCTCCACCTCAGAGAAGCATCAGCAGCTACCTGCAGAGCAGCAGAGCACGGCTGGCTTTGGGACAAGTACTACCTATTGTTTTTCTAGACCTGGGGAAAGACTCAGTGCTAACTCCTCCCATGAGAATTCTTCCGTAGCTCCTCTAAACAGAGCTCATTGCTGCTACCTGTGCTTCCAGAGAATATGGAGTCGGCCAGTTAGAGAAGTCACTTGTGGCAAATCATGCATTCTTTTTTTTTTATGTTCATTTTTTTGAGGTGGGGGAGGAGCAGAGAAAGAGAGAAACAGAATCCCAAGTAGCTCTAGGCTCTGAGCTGTCAGCACAGAGCCCAATGTGGGGCTCAAACTCAGGAACCACAAGATCATGACCTGAGCTGAAGTCGGCCACTTAACCGACTGAGCCACCCAGGTGCCCTATGCATTTTTTAAGTTTATTTTTTATTAAAAAAAATCTTTTTAATGTTTATTTCTGAGAGAGAGAGACAGTGTGAGCAGGGGAGGGTCAGAGAGAGAGGGAGACAGAATCTGAAGCAGGCTCCAGGCTGTGAGCTAGCTGTCAGCACAGAGCCCGATGCGGGGCTCGAACCCACGAACCGTGAGATCATGACCTGAGCCGAAGTCGGACGCTTAACCGACTGAGCCACCCAGGCACCCCATAAGTTTATTTTTTAAAGTTCATTAGAGAGAGCGAGCAGGGGAGGAGAAGAGAGAGAGGGAGAGAGAGAATCCCAAGCAAGCTCTGTACTGTCAGCACAGAGCCCGATATGGGGCTCAATCTCATGAACCACAAGATCATGACCTGACCTGAAATCAAGAGTCGGATGCTTAACAACTGAACCACCCAGGTGCCCCACAAATAGCGCATTCTTACTGCCTTACAGGCCCCACGCTAGGCTTTGGGGGGTTGGACATAAACAGGATTTATTCCAGCGTCCTCACTGGTTGTCAGTGTCACTGTGGGTAAGTGCCTCTGGGCAGGGACTATATTTTATACGTTGCTTGGTTCAGTGGTTCTCTCTCTCATCAGCCTTAACAGCCTAGGAATAGAGCAAACATTTTGTGGACCGTCTTTACCACCTTGAAATGAACCTTACTGATAAAATAACTGACATACACTTGTGGTTTTAAAAAGATCAATATAACACTTTAACTGTACTATAACAGAAAAATAAAGGGAAATTGTATTCCAATGGATAAATTATATTTGAAAATATGGAGATAGTTGGAAATGTATATATACTTACAGTGAAGAGGTTAGATTTAAGGGCTGATATTCATATGACCATGGCAAATAGGTTTTCTTTATGGCAGCTGCCTGGATGTAATAAATATTTGTTTATACATGTAGAATCCCCATGAGTGCCGCAGACACAAACACAATCTGATATGGGCATGTGGTATTGGTGACTTAAATACCAGCGCAGCTTTGCTGTCAGTGAAGCGATTTACTGAAATGGCAAACAACTCTTGGGAAACTTCCAAACCAAAAAAAGCACAATCATCCTTCATTTTACATAACAGTTGCATTCCTGGAAAGTTCAGCGTAACTTAAAATGGTGCCACAAATACTTTCTGCTTAGGTCTAACACCCAGTTAGGTTCTGGGCTCATCTCATTGCCAGTGGCCTGGGGTAGAAGGGCCAGTTTTTCAAGGTCAAAGACTGCCTCCTGCACTGAGGATAGCTTGATGCCCTGGGTTCTGAGGGTGGAGCCCCGTTTCTGTGCGAATCTCCTGGGGGGAGAGGGGAGAGCGGGAGAGGGAATGAGAAAGGTCATTCCAGCCCTGAGGGAAATTCAGTACTGCCTTCCAGCACGGTCTGAATGTCTGGGGCATCCTGATGCAGCTTTAAACCTCATTCCTTTCTCCCTCATTCGCAGGCGTCTCCGTCTTCCCCTGGGACCCGAGGCTGGCACCTGGCCCTGCCCTGGACACCATTCCTGCCACCAGGAAATCTACAGCAGCCCAGCTGGGACCTGAAGCTTCTAAGGGCTTCTAATCCACTGGTGCTGTGGCCTCTGCTGAGCTGTGGTGGAGACAAACAGCACGGGGGTGGTACCCCATCTTGCCTCCAAGCTGCCACCCCTGGCTCCCACCCCTCCCACACTCAAAACGATTAAACGGGGTGGGGGGGAGCGGGCTCAGCCTGATCAGCCCTTTTCCCGAAGAAGTCTTTCCTCTCGCCCTTCTCACTGCTCCTTCTTGGCCCCCTGGGAAGGTTTGCCTTTCCTTCAACTGCCCCACAAGTGATGTGTTTCCTTAGGCTTCTCTCCACTGTCCTCAGCTGATCGCGTCCCCTCTGTAAGCAGGCGGTGCTTCTTTGGGCCTTTGGCAGGGCGGGCTGCTATACGCTGGCATCTCCCAAGACTATCCAGAAAAATGAGAATCGCTCCAGGCTCCTGAACGGGGTTGAGTATTTTTGTCCTTTGAGGAAAGAGGTGTATGGGCTCCCTTGGCGGCATGCCAGGCACCCGCCCTATTGCGTCTGGCGCATCCGTCAGCTCTATTGGGCAGCCCATTTCCAGCCTGAGAGCTGACCTCCACCTCCACCCTGTCCCCACCCTCAGAGACCACACACACACACACACACCAGGCTGCTGCAGGGAACTTTAATAAGGGATGGGCTGACTCCTGCTTCTCAGATTTAAAGGTCAAAGAGGAAGGGCATCACATCTGTAAGAAAAGAAGAGAGTCAACAGGGTCGATCTGCCCCTTGCAGCTGCTGTTCCCTCAGCCTGGACCACGTCACAGCAGATGACCTATTTTCCCCTCGAGGTCCAAATGCCACCAGGTCTCCAGAAAAAGAAGAAAGCCTCCTTTGCACGTCACGGCTCATACCATGCATCTCTCACTGCGCGGCCACCATTTCCGTAGGCAGCAGGGCTGTGGGGCCCATTGCACCTCAGCTGTTTCTCCATCAGTCCCCCGGACCTCACGTACATGCCTGTGTGGCTGGGGTCCCACCGGGAGGCAGGTGCCATCCCAGGATCTCAGACCACTGCTATCCTCGCCCCTTCCCATGGAAGGTGTCCCCCCACCATGGTGTGACCTGGTTCCCTACCCACCGCCCCCCCCAGCCCCATGTGTGACAGGGCCTCACACCTGGCTGACTCATGGACCGCCTGATGCTCTCCAGCCGGCTAGAGGCCAGGGCGCGGGCCTCCTCTGTGAAGCGGCGGTGTCCCTCCTCCGTCAGCTTCCAGAGGCAGGAGCGGGGCCGTGAGCCCGCCCCAACCTGCATGCTGACCGGCACTTTCTCAAAGCTGTCTCGGAAACAGAGGTTGTGACGGACGGTGTTCTTCCAGCCTTCAGGGGCCGTCCGGAAAAAGGGGAAATGCTGTCTGTGGACAGTGGGAGATGGTGAGGAAAGAGATGGTTTCTTTGGGAGATGCCCCATCTTGAGACTGTTCTCCTCCAGGCGCCAGGAGTCGCCCCCTCCCCCAGAGGCGAAGGAGGGCAGGCTGGCCTGGAAAAGCTCTGCTGACAGAGCACACGGCAAAGCCTGACCTAGGGTGTGGCTTGTGCCAACCTTATTTATTTTTTTTTAATTTTAGAGAGAGCGAGAGAGTGAGTGAGGGATGCGGGCAGAGGGAGAGAGAGAATCCCAAGCAGATTCCATGCTGAGCACAGAACCTAACGTGGGGCTTGAGTCCAAGACCCTGGGATCATGACCTGAGCCGAAGAGCTGGATGCTCAACCGACTGAGCCACCCAGGATGCCCCACTAACCCTCGTCTTTTAAAACCAGTTTATTGCTCCCATTCTGAGGCTCATTGTCCTGCTTCCCTCCGAGGGCTCAAGACTGTGGCTTGTGGGGCGCCTGGGTGGCTTAGTCGGTTAAGCGTCCGACTTTCGCTTAGGTCATGATCTCGCGGTTCGTGGGTTCGAGCCCCGCGTCGGGCTCTGTGCTGACTGCCAGCTCAGAGCCTGGAGCCTATTTCGGAGTCTGTGTCTCCCTCTCTCTCTGACCCTCCCCTGCTCACGCTGTCTCTCTCTCTCCTAGAAATAAAAAAAAAAAAAAATACTGTGACTTGTGACATGAATGGAGCAGAATCAAGCCAACTAATGCCCCTAAGAGGAATCCTGGTCAAGGAACGACACCACTTGCGGGGTAACATTCTGAGACTCTCCTGCTAGAGGGAAAGGGTCTGAGAACCCCCTCACACTCACGTGTATGTGACTGTCAAAGCTAAATGTAAATCCCTGGGGGAGCGGGGACCTGTGCCCGGCAGTCCGGCCAAAGGGAAAGGAAGCATGCGAGAAACTGTTGGGGAAATCAGATTTTCTACTGGATGATCTTGACAGGGAAGATGGAAGAATTTCTGACCCAGGTGAATCTATGTTTTAAAGGACTAAGATATAAAACGGTTGGCATTTTTTAGATGTGAGGGGGCGGGGGTGGATGTCTTCCCTAACACAGGATACGTGGACACCCCGCTGGGGACAGCACAGTACCAGTGTCTGGGGAAGGAGGCCTGGGAACACGCTCATCCTTTCAGACCCAGATGGGGGAACTGAGGCAGCAGCCCAGGGCAGGGGGCAGCTTGGGAGGTATCAGACCGAAGGCCCTGACCCCCACCTGTCCCATCCTTACAGGCCCCCCCGCCGTGGCACATACCGAGTGAAACTGTAGATCTGCTGCACGTTGAGGCCACACGGGGCACTGTTTCTTAATGCCAGGGCAATTAGGTGGAAGTAATTGAGAGGGGGCCGGGACCAGAGCCTCCTCTCCTGGCTGCTGGCTTGCCGAAGCCTCCGACTTTGGAGGGGGGCCCTTTTGTGAGGGGACGGGAGAGCCATAGAGGTGCTGTCATCCTGGTCCTCGGCCTCCTCCTCTTCTGTGAGCTAGAGGAGCACAGAGTAGGAACTGGTCCTAACTCAGCGGCCTCTACTCCAGGGGCGCGGCGGCAGGGAGGCCGCTGCCTGCCATCTGGGCTTCTCCCCAACCCAAGGGCACAGCTGATTTCTGGACCCATTAACCCTTGGTGATCCCTAAGGAAACAGAGCTCGCTGACTGCATCATCCCTACACCCACCCTGCCTACAGCGCAAGTCCAGCCCAAGCCCCCAGAAATTCCTACCTCCCAGCTGCCCGGGGGAGAGGCAAACCACTTCTGAGGGGGCGACTGCTCGCTGGAGGGCGAGGACGGTGGCAGTGACTCCACTGCTGTGGACTCGGAGCAGCTGGCAGAGTCTTCCTCTTTTGGCGCTGGCTCAGGGGAGGGGGGTGTGCCTGGGAGATCCTCCCCCTTATGAGGTTCTGGGACCCCCAGCTTTCCGGGAGGATACACAATGTTGGGGTTCACCCACATCCACAGGTTGGGCTCAACAGCTGGGCCTGTGCAGAGAAAAAGGGGATGGTGTGCCATGGCTCCCTGGCTTTGAGGTCCTGCCCAGGCCGCATGACCGTGCCAGGGAGCCCGCGCCCCCCTACTCACCATCCTTATAAGAGCTGGGTGTTTTTCCCACAGGTACTTTTGGTGGCTCAACTATTCGAAGTCTGTATCTGGCAACTGGCAAAAAGAAAGACAGAAGAGGGTCAAAATGTCCTAGGATTTCCACTGTGGCCCCAGGGTCCTGTCCCAGGTGGCTGGGGGCCCTCCCCAGGGCGTTACGACACCGTATCCGACCTCTCTGACCTTGATCCACATACAGGTTCCCTGAGCCATCTCATGAATGCCTGTGGCCTCAGCCACTATCTGTCAACTTAGGGTTCCCAAATCTTTACCTCCGGCCCGGATGATTCTGCTTGCCAGGAAGCACCACTGGCCCTGGGAGGTCTTAACTTGCATAACCCGCAGGTATTTCAGACTTAACATTCCTGCAACTAAACTCCATCTTCCTGCTCTTGCCCCTGTATTCCTCGTCTCAGCAAGTGGCACCACCATCTAACCCGTGGCTTAGGTCAGGAATGTGGACGTATTCTTGATTTCTCTTTCCCGTCCAGCCACAGCCAGTTAATCCCCAAGTCCAGCCATAACCCAGAAGAGTCTGTTTATCTGCTTTTCTCTAAAATTAAAAAAAAAGTTTTTTAACATTTATTTTTTTTTAATGTTTTTATTTATTTCTAGGAGAGAGAGAGAGAGACAGCGTGAGCAGGGGAGGGTCAGAGAGAGAGGGAGTCACAGACTGAAGCAGGCTCCAGGCTCTGAGCTGGCAGTCAGCACAGAGCCTGACGCGGGGCCCGAACCCACGAACCGCGAGATCATGACCTAAGCGAAAGTCGGACGCTTAACCGACTAAGCCACCCAGGCGCCCCAACATTTATTCATTTTTTGAGAGACAGAGCATGAATGCGGGAAGGACAGAGAGAGAGGGAGACACAGAACCCGAAGCAGGCTCCAGGCTCCAAGCTGTCAGCACAGAGCCTGATGTGGGGCTCTTGGGGCTCGAACTCACGGACTGTGAGATCATGACCTGAGCCAAAGTTGGACCCCTTAACGCCTGAGCCACCCAGGCGCCCCTATCTGCTATTCTCTAACTTAATCCTATTGCAGTTGGAGAATCCTCCTAAAATATTAATCCCATCTTGTCACCTTTCTGCTTAAACAGTTTTGATGGCTTTCCATGACGTTTGGGCCAAACTGATGTTCCTTGGGATAGTCTACAAGGCCCTGGCTCCTCATCAGTGTTGGGTCCTTCCTCCCAGGCTCTCCACGTCTCCAACAGACCACAGTCTAGATCCTGGGCCTCCCCATAAACTATTGTGTCTCTGCCAGATAAGCTCTTCCCTCTTCCTGCTGCCCTAGTTAATTGCTATTCACTCATCATGTCTCTGTTGAAACATGTTTCTAAAGCGGCCCTTCTCTGCCTGTCCAAACACTTCCCTAACACACATTTTACCCTAATTACTTTGCTTAGAGCCCATCTCCAGGACTGTCTTTTTCACTGCCTGGCACATGGGAGGAGCTCAGCTTAACTGGATGAATGAATAACGGATGGGCTAAGAGTCAATCATATGTTGTCACTCACATGTGGATCCTGAGAAACTTAACAGAAGACCATGGGGGAAAGGAAGGGGGAAAATATTAGTTACAAACAGAGAGGGAGGGAGACAAACCATAAGAGACTCTTTAACACAGAGAACAACCTGAGGGTTGATTGGGAGAGTAGGGGAGAGGGGAAAATGGGTGATGGGCATCGAGGAGGGCACTTGTTGGGATGGGCACTGGGTGTTGTATGTAAGCAAGGAACCACAGGAATCTACCCCCAAAACCAAGAACATACTGTACACACTGTATGTTAGCCAGTTTGGTAATAAATTATATTTTTAAAAGTATAAATAAATAAAATCATTTGCGAAAAATTAAAAAACAATTCTGTAGGAGAAAATTCAGAGCAGCTCCAATTGTATTCGCCAAAAACTAGAAATGACTCAAATGTGCTTCAGCGGGTGAACTGTAAACAAACTGTGGTGCCTCTGTGCCATGGGATGCTAAATAATAAAAAGGAACAGTTATTAAAAAAAAAAGAGTAAATCAAATGGATATTAGAGCTATCTGCTTGGCACTATGCTGGCTCCTTGGGGTCATTGGCAACTATTTCCATCCTCCCTCCCCCACCCAAGGACCACTTGAGTGTCATCATTTTGTGGTCAAATCTAGGTTTTTGTCTGGAAAATTATTATATACTTCTTAAATTTTTTTAAAAAATTTTTATTTATTTCTGAGAGAGACAGCATGAGCAGGGGAGGGTCAGAGAGAGAGGGAGATACAGAATCTAAAACAGGCTCCAGGCTCTGAGCTGCCAGTCAGCACAGAGCCTGATGTGGGGCTCGAACCCACGAACTATGAGATCATGCCCTGAGCCAAAGTCGGACACTTAACTGACTGAGCCACCCAGGCGCCCCAATGATTATATACTTATTAGAGTGCTCAGTAATTAGAAAGGATGTCCATTACATTGCTAACAATGTTCAATAAGTATTTGAAAAGAGGAAAAAGTAGAAAGAGCTAGAGAGAAAGGAATATAAGGTCAGAAAGAAAGGGATGTAAAGTCGGAAAGAAAAAGGCAAAACTAGCATTATTTATAGAAAAAAATGTTAAGATAGAAACCATACAAAATCAATAAGAGCGCAGAAAGTTTGTTGGATATAAGAACAGATACTAATCAACACTAATCCAGACCAGCATGAAGAAACCGGAAAATATGTTTGTTTTTTTTTTTAAAAAGGTATTATTTGCCGTAGCAACCAAAATTATAAAGTATCTAGGAGTTAACCCATCAAAGAATGAACTAGACCTTCATGATTCAGGCAGGGATCCCTGAATTACTAACAAGATGCTCTCGGACTTACTAGTAATAAGAACACAATAAAATAATGAGATAACACTTTACATCATACTAACAAGAAATATAAAAACAGATAATACCGAGTGTTGGCAAGGACTCAGGGAACTAGAATCCTTTCTAACACTGTAGATCTCAACAGCAGCTGGTGCTATCACAGTGAAGGGCTGATTACCACCCATTAGGGTCTACGGGTGGGTGTGTCTATTCAAGTCAATGGGGGAATTTACATGCTAATCTTCTTTGGTACAATCACTTGGGTGTAGATATTGATTAATCTATTTAATAAACAAATTAAAAATTTTAAATTTATTTATTTATTTTGAGGGAGAGAGAAAGAGAGAGCAAGTGGGATAGGGGTAGAGAGGGGAGAGAGAATCCCAAGCACTATCAGTGCAGAGCCCAATGCGGTGCTTGAACTCACAAACCGTGAGATCATGACCTGAGCCAAAATCAAGAATCAGATGCTTAACTGACTGAGCCACCCAGATGCCCCGATTTAATAAACAAAGAAAAAAAATATTTCACCTATCTTTCCAGATAACTCTCTCCCCACTCCAACTATCCTTGGATACCATGATATCACCAATCCATTGACCTATGGCTTTGGAGTACTCTTTGGTAGAGCTGGATTTAATCAGGGTGGTGGTTTGGCCAAGCAAGTACTCCAAAGCCAGAGAGGTTCAAAGGAATTGAGGCGTATGCAAAGAGAAAGCATGTTTGACCATGGGATTCCAGGTAAATTAAAGAAGGGAAAACATCCAGGGATTGAGAGCAGTAAAAGGGTGACATCAGCCGGTTGGTGATCTCAGTGAGATCAAAGGAGAGTGCCTCTGTCCATCTGTCTCCCTCCCTCCCTCCCTCCCTAGCACAGGGGCTCTCCAGCCATCTCACGGATAATGTTCCAACCAATCCCTCCTCTATTTCCTGTTATTTGTGAGTGTATATCTACTGGATCACTCTTATTAGCATTCAAATATGATGTTAATTCTCTCATCTTATTGAAAAGACCTTCTTTTGCCCCGGTTTTCTGTGCCAGGCCACTGCCCTCTGTTTTTGCTTTTCTGTGAGGCAGAACTCCTCAAAAGAACTACCTGTTCCTTCTGACTCCACGTCCCCTCCTTCCACCCTTAAACCTTTGCCAATCAGGCTTTCATCTCCACCACCCCATCATCATCATGGTCACCAATGATGTCTGCTTTGCTAAACCCAACTGTCCGTCTACCTCACACCTGACCTCACACGGGTAGTCCTCTCACCTGACCACTCCTTCCGCGACCCACTTTTTTCACTTGTTTCCAGGAGACCACGGCCTCTTGGTTTTGATTCTCAATGGTCATTTCCTTAGTTTTGGCTGCTTATCCCTCTCCTCTCTGGTATCTTTACAATGGAGTGTCCCCAGGGCTCATGTTTGGTCCTTCTCTATCCTCACCCCTTAAATGCCACCCACATACCAAAGACTTTCAAAATATACCTCTCTCCAGTACTCCAGACTTAAACATCTATCTGCTCACTCAATGTTTTTGCTTGGAAATCTAAAAAGTATCACACACTCAGCAGGCCCTGAACAGAATTCCTGATCTTCTTCCCTAAACCTGTCCTTCTAGAAGCTTCCCCCATCTCAGTACTCCATCCTGTCACTGGATCAGCCAAAAACTTTGGAGGAGTTATCCTTTCTCTTTCATACACTTCACGTCAGATCCATCAGCAAACCCAGCTGGCTCTGCCTTCTCACCACCGCCCTGATGGGCGAGCCTACCCCCATTTCTGGTCTGGATTCCAGCAGTAGCCTTCTGGTCTGCTGGCTTCTTCTCCCTACATTTACAATGTACTCTCGACACAGCAGCCACGGTGATCTTTTCAGAGTATAAATCATGCAGCAATGGGTTACATAATTTGCAGAGCCCAGTGCGAAGTGAAAATGAGGGGTTCCTCGTTCAAAAATTATCTCAAGACAGTGACAGCAGAGCAGGCAACGACATGGGTCACACACCCGTCACACACTCGGGAAGCCCGAATCATGGCACTCCTCTGCTCAAAACCTTTCAACCTCCAAGTCAACCGCGAAGTGCCTAAAGTGGAAGATGGGCACTTCTCGATCTCTGCTCCACATCCTCTGAACCTCCCTCCATATTTACTTTCATCCAGCTTCAGTGGCCTCTTTCCTGTGCCTCAAACACTCCAGGCATACTCCTTCCTTAGGACCTTTGCCCTGGCTATTTCTTCTGCCTGGTACATTTTTCCTTTAAATACCCTTCAACTCTCTGCTCCAATGTCAGGTTCCCAAGGAAGCCCAACTCGGTGGCTGTCACCACCTCCCCACATTCCTGAGCCCTCTTACTCTTTTCGCCATCTCGGTCATGACTTATACTATAGACATGTCTTTATGTGGATTGTCTGCCCCCCGTAGAACATAAGCTCCATGTAGACTTGTCTGTTCTGTTCATTATGTATGACGAGTGTCTAGAACACTGCCTGGCAAATGAGAGGTGCTGGGTAAGTATTTCTTCATCAACGAAGATATAGGAATTCACCAGCATTCTCTGGCGGCAGAGAGCTGGAGGCAATCCGGAAGAACTAAAATGCAAAAGGTAGTCTATGCAGATAAGAGTACCACCCAGCCGTCAGGACTAAGGAACCAGACCTTCATGCAGCAACCTGAGTAGCTCTCAAAAACAATGCGAGTACCCAGAAAAAAGCAATGAGCGTTAAGTAAATGAAGGTAATCTATAAGCATAAAATGACGTTAAACCGTTTTCAAAATAAACCTATCTAAAGCCATTAAATCGCTTAGGGTAGATACATGGGAGTGTGGGAGGTGACGGGAGGCAGGGTGGGGGTGGCGGTGGGTGCACTCAAGGGGGGCAAGGGGATCATCCAAGGACCTTGTCTGACCAGATGGCAATAATGGACCACGAACGTCGGAGGTGATCGCCTCCACTCTCTGCCCTTGAGGCCCAAAGAAAAAATCATTTTCTGAAAGACCACAACGGTCAACCATTCGTTTAGCAAATATCCAGCACCTCTAGGTGTCAGCCAATGTACTAAAGGGGGTGGCGGTGGGGGCAGGGCCTCGAACAAAACTGATAACCTTTTCAAAACGGAACGAGTAAAATGTTGGTGGTGTGCCCAATGGCGATAGGCATCATGGGAAAAGGGCTGAGGCGAGGCTGAGGCGAGGCCTAGAAGGTTCTGGGACCGGGCTGACGGTGGGGTGGAGGTGGGGGCTCTCAGTGAGGCGGTGTCGCCACAGGCCCGGTGGGGGTGGGGGCGGGGCGCGGAGGGGTTCCCGCTCGGGGCAGGGGGGGGCGGGAGGGCGCGGGCCCCGAAACGGCATTCGGGGGCCCGGCTCGCCCCCGGGGCCGAAGGTGGGGGGCTGGGGGCCAAGCGGCCGGGCGCCCTGCGAACACCCCGCCCGTTCGCCCCCCACGCCCCTCCCCCACGCCCGCCCGCCCCCCACGCACTCACGGTTCTGCTCAGCCAGGGGCAGGTGCGCCGAGGTGAAGGCCAGGAAGGACTCGTTGCCCATGTCCCAGTCCAGCAAGCCCGGGACCCGGCCATGGAGGCTGGCCCAGAGGTCGAGGTGCTGGAGTTTCAGGTCCACCTTCAGGGAGAGGAGAGGTCGCCCGGCAGCGGGTGGGAGAGTCTGAGACACTGAGGCTGAGGGCCTCGCACCGCTTCCTTAATTCCCACGGGCGGGCGGGCTCCGGTCGAGTTACTTAGCGCCAGCTCAGGTGTGGAGAGTCCCCAATTTGACGCCTTTAATCGCCTCTGGCCTCCACCCGGCACTCGCCGCGACGTCTCTCCTAAACCCCCTTCGCTTTCATTGGGGGGCTTGGGGACCCTGGGGGTCCAGCAGGGAGGGATCCCAGGCCCTCTTCCCGCTCTGCCTTTGCACAAAGCTCTTCCTGTGTTTAGTAAGTTTCTCTACCACTTAAGTAGGATCTAATAGCTACTTTCTTGACATTCTGATAGATTTTATAGCTTATCTAAGATCTCATCCATAGTACCTATGGAGATAGGTTTGGATGGTGGTTTGTTTTGTTTTGTTTTTTAAGTCTGGTTTTTAATCATTTCAAATTTACAGAAAAACCCCACGAATAGTATAAAAAATTCCTGTATACCTAAATCCTATAGTCCACCAATGACACTCATTATCAACATTTTATCACATTAAAATTTTTTCTTTCCAGATAGAAGACATCGATTCCCCCCACCCCCCCCACACTATTTAAGAGTAATTTACAGACATAATGCCCCTTTCCCTAGAAATACTTCAGTGTGTATTTCCTAAACACAGGGATACTAGAATATATAACCAGAAATGAGAACATAATCAAAATCAGGAAATTGAACATGGACTCAATACTATATTTAACATACAGATTCTATTCAAATTTCACTAATTGTCCCAATGATGTCCTTTATATAAATTACTTCTCTGGTCTAGGATCGAATTCAGGATCACGTAGGGCATTTCTTCGTCATTGTCCCGTTAGTTGTCTTTTGATCTGGAACCGTTTCTCAGCCTTTTAATCGTTCATAACATTTACATGTTGGGAAGAGTATAAGCTGTTTGTTTTGTAGAATGTCCCTTAGTTTAGGTTTGTCTGATGTTTCCTCATAATTGGACTTGCACATTTTTGGCAGGAACACCACACGAGTGATGTTGAATGATGTTGTTTCTTTCTCTCTCGGTACCGCACATCAAGAGCCACATGGTGTCAGTTTATCTCATTATTACTGACGTTAACTTCAATCACTTGGTTTAGTGGTATCCACCAGATTTCTCTGTGGTAGTTACCTTTTTTTTTCTACTTTGTAATTGGTAAGTAATTTGTGGGGAGATACTTTGATCTAAAATCCTGTTCCTCAAAAAAAAAAAGAAAGATTAAAAATAAAGTAAAAATGAATAAAATTCTGTTCCTCATCAAGTTTGGGCCCTTTAAGTCCAGTATCTATTTATGATTCTTGCCTGAATCAATTATTACTATGATGAGTGTAAAATGATTTTTCTTTTTTTAATGTTTATTTATTGGGTGGGGAGGGGCAGAGAGAGAGAATCCCAAGTAGGCTCCTCAGTGTCAGTATAGAGCCCGATGCAGGGATCCATCTCGTGAACAATGAGATCATGACCTGAGATGAAATCAAGAGTCAGATGCTTAACCAAATGAGCCATCCAGGAGCCCCTAAAATCATTTTTCTAAATCTATCACTCCTTTCCCATTTATTTAGTTGACATTCTATTGTAAGGAAGAGCTTTTCCATATCTCATATATTTTTAAAAAATATTTTATTTTAGGGGAACCTGGGTGGCTCATTTGGTTAAGTGTCCAACTTCAGCTCAGGTCATGATCTCACGGTTTGTGGGTTCAAGCCCTGCGCTGGGCTCTGTGCTGACAGCTCAGAGCCTGGGGCCTGCTTCCTATTCTGTGTCTACTTCCCTCTCTGCCCCTTCCCTGCTCACGCTCTGTCTGTCTGTCTCTCTCTCAAAAATAAATAAACATTAGGGGCGCCTGGGTGGCTTAGTCGGTTAAGCGTCCGACTTTTGCTTAGGTCATGATCTCGCGGTTCGTGGGTTTGAGCCCTGCGTCGGGCTCTGTGCTGACTGCCAGCCCAGAGACTGGAGCCTGTTTCAGAGTCTGTGACTCCCTCTCTCTCTGACCCTCCCCTGCTCGCGCTGTCTCTCTCTCTCTCTCCTAGAAATAAATAAAACATTTTTAAAAAATTAAAAAATAAATAAATAAACATTAAAAAATTTAAAAATTTGATTTAATTTTTATTGAGTTTTTTAACTCCAACAGGTAAAGATTTTATTTAATTTTAATTTTTTTTTTTTAGGAGAGAGAAAGCATGAGCGGGGAGAGGAACAGGGGGGAGAGAGAGAGACTACTAAGCAGGCATTCCATGCTCAACAACAAGCCCAGCGAGGGGCTTGATCCCACAACCCGTGGGATCACGACCTGGGCTGAAATCAAGAGTCAGACATTCAACTGACTGAGCCACCCAGGTGCCCCTAAAGATTTTATTTTTTAAGTAATCTCTACACCCAGCATGGGGCTCGAACTTAACAACCCTGAGATCAGGAGCTGCATGCTCCACTGACTGAGCCGACCAGGTGCCCCCTTATCTCATATTTGTTTGTTTATTGTCAGTATGGACCCAAAGGATTCTTAAAGTGGATTATTTATAATTATTAATTATAGCAATTTATTATATAATTATTATAAAATTCTGCTATTCTCTATGGGGAATTATAATTAATATCATTATTTATTTTAATCCTCAAATTGTTACAGATTTTTCCAGTGAGAGCCTCCTTTGTTTCCTCTGTTCCTGAAACTTTGAGAGTACCTGGCATATAGGAGACCCTCAATAAATGTTGTTTTAACTACATTGAAAACAACAACTCCCCTTTAAAAAATTTGCGGGGACTCTACCTTTAATGCCAATAATAGTAATTTTAATGATAATTTCCCTAATTATTCAAATAATACCTGTTCTGGGTATCTGGATGGCTCAATCAGTAGAACATTGACTATTGACCTTGGGGTTGTGAGTTCAAACCCCACACTGGATGTGGAAATTACTTTTTATATTTTATTTAATTATTTTTAAAGTCTATTTATTTATTTAATTTTTTAAAAAATGTTTATTTTAGGGGCACTTGGGTGGCTCAGTCGGTTAAGTGTCCGACTTTGGCTCAGTTCATATCATTGTTCGTGCGTTCGAGCCCCGCATCAGGCTCTGTGCTGACAGCTAGCTCAGAGCCTGGAGCCTGCTTCAGATTCTGTATCTCCCTCTCTCTCTGACCCTTCCCTGCTTATGCTGTCTCTCTCTCTCAGAAAAAAAAAAAATTAAAAAATGTTTATTTTTGAGAGAGCAAGAGAGACAGAGTGTGAGCACGGAAGGGGCAGAGAGAGGGAGACAGAGAATTAAGAAGCAGGCTCTATGCTTCAGATTCTGTGTCTCCCTCTCGCTCTGACCCTCCCCTGCTCATGCTGTCTCAATGTCTCTCTCAAAAATAAATAAAATATTAAAAAAAAAAAATGCAGGCTCTAGGCTCTGAGCTGTCAGCACAGAGCCCGGTGCAGGGCTCAAACTCACGAACTGCAAGATCATGACCTGAGCCAAAGTTGGACACTTAACTGACCGAGCCACCCTGGTGCCCGTATTTATTTTGAGAGAGAGGAAGAGAGAGAGTGTGTGTGCGCAAGTTGGGCAGGGGCATAGAGAGAAGAAGAGAATCCCAAGCAGGCTCTGAGCTGTCAGCACGGAGCCTGATTTGGGGCTTGATCTCATGAACTCTGAGATCATGAACTGAGCTGAAATCAAGAGCTGGACCCTTAACTGACTGAGCCACCCTGGTGCCCCTGGAGATTACTTTAAAAAAAAAAAATAAGGGGCACCTGGGTGGCTCAGTTGGTTAAGCGTCCGACTTTGGCTCAGGTCAGATCTCATGGTTCATGGGTTCGAGCCCTGCATCAGGATCTGTGCTAACAGCTCAGAGCCTGGAGCCTGCTTTCGGATTCTGTGTCTTCCTCTCTCTCTGCCCCTCCCCCACTCATGCTCTGTCTCTCTCTGTCTCAAAAATAAATAAACTATAAAAAATAAAAATAAAATAAAATAATAGGGGCGCCTGGGTGGCTCAGTCAGTTAAGCGTCCGACTTTGGCTCAGGTCATGATCTTGCAGTCTGTGAGTTCGAGCCCCGCATCGGGCTCTGTGCTGACACCTCAGAGCCTGGAGCCTGTTTCAGATCCTGTGTCTGAAACACAGGTCATGAATAAAGTTCAGGTCATGATCTCGCGGCTTGTGAGTTCAAGCCTCACATTGGCTCTGCCGTCAGTACAGAGCCTACTTCATATCTTTTGTCTCCCTCTCTGTCTCTGCCCCTTCCCTGCTCTCTCTCTCTCTTTCAAATAAACATTAAAAATAATAAATAATTTTTAAAAATAATTTAAAAAATACATGTTCAATGCAGAAAACTTGGGAGTATAGAAAACACAGGGGAAAACAATAGAGAAAAAAATCATTCTTTGTATCAGAGATAATAGATTACATTTTGATATATATATATATATATATATACTTCCAAAAATTTTCATAATGGGTGTTTCAGTTTTGTTTTATTTAAAAAAATGTTATCGTAATTCATCCACCCTCTTATAGCCCTTTTCAATTTAGTCTACCATTTAAGAATGTTTATATCATACAAATCATATATCTGATAAAGAATTAATATCCAGAATATATAAACAATCACAACCTACAGGAGTGCCTGGGTGGCTCAGTCAGTTAAGCGTCTGACTTCAGCTCAGGTCATGATCTCACAGTCCATGAGTTCAAGCCCCATGTCAGACTCTGTGCTGATAGCTCAGAGCCTGGAGCCTGCTTTAGATTCTGTGTCTCCCTCTCTCTGCTCATCCCCTGCTCACATTGTCTGTCTCTCTCAAAAATAAAATAAAATAAAAACACTTAAAAAAAAAAAGAACCACAACTCACACACACAGACAATTTAAAACTGGTCAAAGAAGTTGAACAGACATTTCTCTAGAGAAGATAGACAAATTTCCAATAGCCATGTGAAAAGATTCTCGACATTATGGAAATGCAAATTAAAAACAGGGGGCGCCTGGGTGGCTCAGTCGGTTAAGCATCTGACTTCGGCTCAGGTCATGATCTCACGGTTCGTAGGTTCGAGCCCCGCATCCGTCTCTGTGCTGACAGCTCAGAGCCTGGAGCCTGCTTAGGATTCTGTGTCTCCCTCTCTCTTTGCCCCTCCCCTGCTCACGCCATCTCCCTCTCTCTCTCACAAATAAATAAAACATTTTAAAATAAATAAATAAAAACAATGAAGTACTACTTCCCATCCATTAGGATGGCTATTTTAAAAACAAACAAATAAAACAAGAAAATAATAAGTGTGGATGAGGAGGTGGAGAAATTAGAACACTTGTACATTGCTGGTAAGAATGTACAATGGTACAGTCCCATGGAAAAAAGTATAGCGGTTCCTCAAAAAATTAAATGAATCACCATATGACCAAGCCATCCCACTTCTGGGTATCTCTCCAAAATAACTGAAAGCACGGACTTGAACAGATACCTGTGCACCTATGTACCAGCATTGTTCACAAGAACTAACAGGTGAAAACCCAAATACCCATCGGCCTGTGAATGGATAAACAAAATGTGGTCTTATACATACGTTGGAATATTATTTAGCCTTAAAAATGAGGGGCGCCTGGGTGGCTTAGTCGGTTAAGCGTCCGACTTTCGCTTAGGTCATGATCTCGCGGTTCGTGGGTTCGAGCCCCGCGTCGGGCTCTGTGCTGACTGCCAGCTCAGAGCCTGGAGCCTGTTTCAGTCTGTGACTCCCTCTCTCTCTGACCCTCCCCTGCTCACACTGTCTCTCTCTCTCTCTCTCTCTCTCTCTCTCTCCTAGAAAGAAATAAAACATAAAAAAAAATGAATAAAACTCTGACACAGGCTACAATGTGCCTGGACCTTGAAAACATAATGCGAAGTGAAACAAACCAGGCACAAAAGGGCAAATTGTGTGTGGCTCCACTTTTATGAGATATCTAGAACAACCAAATTCACAGACACAGAAGGTAGCATGGTGGTTGATAAGGGTGGGGGAGGAGGCGATGGGGAATTATTGTTTAGTGGATACAGAATTTCTCTTTGGGGTAAGGAAAAAGTTCTGGGGATGCATAGTGGTGGTGGCTGCACAACACTGTGAATGTATTTCATGCTGCTGACCTGAACACTTAGAAATGGTTAATATAGGCGCACTGTGGTGGCTCAGGTGGTTGAACGTCTGACTCTTGCTTTTGGCTCAGGTCATGATCTCACGGTTCATGGGATCGAGCCCTGTGTCAGGCTCTGTGCTGACAGCTCGGAGCCGGCTTAGGATTCTCTCTCTCCCTCTCTGCCCCTCCCTGACTTGTGCACCCATGCATTCTCTCTCTCTCTCTCTCTCTCTCTCTCAAAATAAATAAATAAACATTTAAGAAAATGGTTTAAATAGTTAATTTCATGTCATGTATATTTTATCACAAGTTTGAAAATGTTTATATCAGTAAGTTCCAAGCTTTGCTGCGTATTCCAAACTTTTAAGATCTCCTGAGGATCTAGAAAAAAAAAATACTAATACCTGCCTCCTATACCTGTTATGCTGATCCCGGTAATGGGTATGGCCTAGGCATTCGGGTTTTTAAAACCTACCTCCTAGATGATTCCAGTGGGCAGTTTGACTCCCAGTCTGATGCTCTTCCCCCAGCATGGGAAGGTTGGGCTCCCAAAGCCCTCTTGGCTGATGCAGGGAAGGTGGGAAAACACAGCCAAACTATTCTCTCTGCGGGGCACATCTTCTCTGCCTGTCTCTCCTGACTAAGCCCAGCTCCATTAGGCCCACCTGAACAAAGAAGGGCTCCAGTGCTCATTTCCTCTCTCATTTCCCATTGCTCTTACCAACATTTTTTTTTTTTTTTTGAGAGAGAGAGAAAGAGAGAGGGTGCTCACAGTGCCCGTGCACAAGCTGGGGAGAGAGAGAGAGAATCTTAAGCAGGCGCCACACTCATGCAGAGCCTAACATGGGGCTCGATCCTACGACCCTGAGATCATGACCTAAGCCCAAATCAAGAATCAGACACTCAACCGACTGAGCCACCCAGGCGCCCCAGCACTTCTCACATTTTTAATCTATTTACTTGTTCACGTTCTTGAGAATCTGAGTCTTGCATTGAGTTCCCTGTAAACACCATGAGGGAGGAACAAGGTCCTTCTGCGTTTTATTCTTGCACTTCTAGCAGCACCTGGCACATAATAAATGCTCAGTTAATGTTTGTGGGATGAATAAACACTGTTGCTCTTCTCTTCCATAGCCTCCCTCTCCCAGGCTTTTGTGTTACTTTAGGAAGGGGTCATTAAGGCCATTGTGCCAGCATCTTCTAGCTCTGTGTGGTTTTTTTGTTTTCACAGAATTTTTAGCCCTTGCCCAGTCCCCACCTTCTCTTAGGAGCTTGTTCATTCGTTCATCTGTTCACTGATCCAACAAATATTTACCGAGTACTTACTATGCCCCAGGTATTGTGGAGCAAAGGTACTTTGGGAACAAAATGACTGCTGTCGTGGAACACACAGTCTGGTTGCGGACACAACTGAAGAATCACATAAACATTAATGATAAACCATAGTGATGCTATGAAAGACAGGATAGGGGAACCCAGCCTAATGGGGGCTTAGAAGTCAGGGGTTTTCCTGGAGAAGGTGAGCCACCTATGCACATAAGGATGGAATGGGAATCGGGGGAGTCATAAAGGCAAGCCAGGCATGTGGAATAGTCTGTGCAAAGGCCCTGAGGCAAGAGGGAACACAGGATACTGGAGGAAACATGGTGAGAACTGAGGGGCAGTGAGGGGAGAGATCAGAGCTGGTCTTGAAGGTCACCTTAAAGAGTCAATGCAAAGATCACTGATCCTCATAAGGGTGGTGTGTTGGAAAGGGGAACACGCCCGCCCTTTTCCCTCCATTACCAGACTGCACCACCCTTGCCCTCCTGTACCCAGGCTTCTTCCATTTCTGCTCCGTCTTCCTAGGGCCCCTTTAGACTACCCTCCACTTCTCCCACCCCCCAGCACCCTGTCTGGGGTCTCACCCTGGTGGCCCTCTCTTCTCTCCCCTGTTAGAGCCTGCACTCCCTTACCCAACACTTCCCTTTGCTCCAACACCCCAAGACCCTCAGCCTCTAGACTCACCCACACGGCGCACCACGCTCTGGTTGGGTGGCCCGCAGTGGAGGGGGCAAAATCCACAGTCCTCACGAGCTCTGAGGACTCTTGACTCCTGGCATCTAATGCTCCCCCCCTTACCTGCCTCCTGAGAGGAGCAACTCTAGGTTGTTCTAGGGGGGCAGGGAGGGGGGCTGGGAGCCTGATGCAGGGATTCGGTTCCGCCCAGGTGGAGCGCATGAAAGGAAACACAGCAGAGGTGGCATCAGACTTTACTGTGGAGCCTTCCGTCACTGGGGGGGGGGGGTGAATTGTTGAGGGGGAGAGATTAAAGAGGTGAAGTGGAAGGCGCGTCCATTCTGACACAAGTGGGGTGAGGGGGTTATAGGGAGTGTGGGGAGAAGGTGAGGCTCTGGGGACAAGGGGAGGGGCAGAGGGAGGAAAGGGCTCCAGTGAGAGGGGGCAGGGAGGGGGGGTGAAGGCACCCAAAGAACCAAAGCCTCCTGGTTGAGGCCTGGGAGCAGGCAGCCTTTTCAGGAGAGAAGGCAGGCACAGAGGGCAAAGCGAGGGCTGGGGGAATGGAGAGCAGACCTTCCCGGACCTTCCGGAGGCCTGCTGCCTGGTGAGGGCCTCCTCACTTTCGGGCGCCCAGTGCCAGGGCGACGATGAAGCCCACGACCAGCAGGAACATGGCGACAGAGAGCAGCACTGTGATGACCACCATGCCCCCCGTCCGGGCCATGCCCAGCCCAATGGATTCCATCTTCCTCCCTGTCAGAAGACAGAGCGGGGGCGACTTTGTGGGCAGGAGGAGCCCCTCTCCTGGCCCGAGGCTTTCTGTCTCATCCAGACATCCTTCGTCCATTCATTCATCCAGCCGGCCAACGGATCCACACATCCATCACGCAAGCATCCATGAAGCATCTCCTACGTGGGTCACCGAGGGTGCAGAAATTAAGTGGCCACAATCCCTACCTGCCTTTAATTTACAAGAACCTTTAGTCTATGAGATGAGTCGACAGGCACTTGAAATGCCAGGAGGATACAGGTATGCCAAGAAGCTAAGGGGGCACAGGGAGGGGCAGCCGGGGGGTGGGGTGGGGGGTTTTGGGGGCCCTGATGTTACTTACGAGGAAGCGTGGACATTGGGATCTCTCTACTGGACTCAGCAGATGCCCCCTTCGTCACGTGGTAGGAAACGCTTTTGTGGTGGGGTTTGGGAGAGAGGGTGGAGAGACTCCTCAGTGGTTATCGGGGACTTGGGAGACAACGGAGCCCAGGCCCCCTCGTCACAGCCGCGCCCTCCTCCCGGAGGCCCGTTCCGGACGCCTCAGGCTGTATCCTCACTTCTTCCCCCAAACTGACCTTATCGCCTCCCACCAAATAAATGTTAGGACTCAGCTTCTCTTCCTGTCCCCACCGCCCCCCTCATAGGTGCCCCAGGCCTGGATCTGGTACCTACTAGTATCTGGTCCCGGGCACGAGGTTTGTCACCTGGTAGGCACTGAGCCGGGTGACGGTGAAGCCAGCCCCACTGTCCACCACACTCACCAGCTCCCGGCGCCCGCGGCACGGAGGCACCACGAAGCTGGACTTCACCACTGGGCAGGAAATCGGGGGTGAAGTCGGGGTCATGTTTCTGGAGGCCCCAAAGAGAAGGGGCAGCAGGGTATGGATGGCCCGGGAGAAGGGTCTACATGGCGGCAGGGGTAGGAGAAGGGGCGCTGGTGGTGGCCTGGGTAGGGGTCTCCAGGGCCTAGGGGGCCACTTGGGAGGGGGTAGCAAACCTTTGCTGTCATTGGCTCTCCGGACCATCAGTGTGGCATTGCCCCCTGTGAGGTGACAGGGGGGCAGAGCAACCAGCAGGCTCTCCGTCAGCGCAGGGGACAGCAGACCAGAGACGCTTGAGATGTTGAAGTCTGCTGGGGGGGCCAAGAGGGAGTTCGGGGGTGGGGGCAACCAATCCCCTTCCCCGCCATCAGATCTGGCCCTGACCCCTGGGGGCCATTTCTAAGGATGCAGTCCGCCCCTTCGGTGCCACAGAACACAGGCCTTTGCCTGTGTGGCCGCCAGGTGGCAGGCTTGAGCCGCGGAAGCTGGGTCCTCCGCCGAGCGGCCAGATCCTGGGTGTCAGTAGGGGGCAGCGGCCAACCTTCCCCCAATCCCTAGCACCTCTCTGCCTCTTGGGTTTGGAGGAGGACCAGGAGTGTGCCCTGGGCTCAGTGACTGATGCCTGGTCACTGCCATCACCGGCCCCAACCCTCCAAATGGCCAGGCCAGCTCTGCTTTGCAAGCCCTGAAAGGCACCGCACCTCCCCTCCCCACACCCGGCCAGAGAAGGCAGAGACCTGCAGTCCCCAGGGCCAGGACAGTCAGCAGCATCAGGATCAAGGGCAAGGCCCTGACCGGCAGCGGCAGCGGGGATGCCATAGCTGGGAGCTGGGACAGGTGCTGGCAGGCTGGGGCTTCCTGAAGCAAGTGCCACTTGGCCCCCCAGGTGGCTGATTTTGTCTTGCGGTGGGAGTGGCTGCAGGGGAATCCTGTCCAACCTGCCCTTTGGGCCCTCCAGCCTCAGGGCAGGCCCCCAGACAGGTTTTTCAGGATGGGGAGCTGGCTCCCCGGTCAGAAGTGGGGTTGTTCTGGCTGGATCTTGATGCTGTGGAGGGGCAGGGTAAGGCGGAAATCACCCCTTCCTCTGGGGCTCCCATGTGTTAGGGCCCGAGTATTCTTGCCCGTGCGTGCACCTGGAGCATGGCCTGTGGAAGACTGGTCCCCTCAGGTGGTGGGAGTCTTCCCAGGAGCACAGCGAGTTCTGAGACTGCCCTGGTGTGCAAGGAAGGGAGAGCGACGCTGAGGGGCTCCTGACGGGGCCTCTCCACTGGGCGAGGATGGGAGGGAAACTGAGGCTGGTAGGAGGGGATGGGGGCAGCAGATGAGAGGGCTCCTCTTCGTAGTGGTGTCCACCGAGGCCCAGGTACTGCTGCCCTGGGAGAGGCGGAGGGGTGTGGGTGCCAGGGAGTGTGCGGGGTTTGATTCCTCTGGAGAGCTGAGAGCAGGGCCAAGGGACACTAGGGAAGACTTCCAGAGGGACTGGAGGGGTAGGCATCGACCCCGTCCAGCCTCGGCGGGCACAGCCAGCCTGGCTCAGCAGCCGTTGTTGAACCGATTGAGAATAAAAAAGAGATGGGGCGCCTGGGTGGCTTAGTCGCTTAAGCGTCTGACTTTCACTTAGGTCATGATCTTGCTGTTCGTGGGTTCGAGCCCCGCGTCGGGCTCTGTGCTGACTGCCAGCTCAGAGCCTGGAGCCTGTTTCAGAGTCTGTCACTCCCTCTCTCTCTGACCCTCCCCTGTTCACGCTGTCTCTCTCTCTCTCTCTCCTAGAAATAAATAAAACATTTAAAAAAAGAGAGAGAGAATAAAAAAGAGAGAGACGTGGTAGGAAAAAATGAAAAAGAGGGGTGCCTGGGTAGCTCAGTTGGCTGAGCTTCCGACTTCAGCTCAGGTCATGATCTCAGGGCCTGTGTCGCGTCAGGCTCTGTGCTGACAGCTCAGAGCCTGGAGCCTGCTTCAGATTCTGTGTCTCCTTCTCCCTCTGCCCCTCCCCCATTTGCGTTCTGTCTCTCAGTAATAAATAAATGTAAATATATATATATATTTATTTAAAAAAGAGAAGATAAAAAAGAGACACAACTCCTCTGATTGCATCTCCCAGCCCTGCACTTGATTAGACAGAAGGGGGAGTTATAAGCAGAAAGCAAGGAGGGGAAGTGCCCACTCTGGACACTGGGCGTGTGCCAACATGCTTACCCTTAAGCCACGGGGCTGCAGACGTCACAGGCTCTGTTTTTGCAGATATGGAAACTGAGACTCGGAGGGGAAGTCACCTGTGGGAAGTGGGATACTCCGTAAGGGAGGCCAGGAGATGTACAGAGAAGGTGCTGACGCAGGTCTCTGCACCATGAACCATCCTGTCTCCCCCAGGCCCAGAGAGAGGCCAGGCTCCTGTAAGGGAGGGAGGGCTCAGTGGGGGCCCCATCCTTACCCCTACGGTGGGAAGAAGGGTATGTTCAAAGCCTGGAGTGTGAGCAGGGGGTGAGGGTAAAGGTGGAACTCACAGACCCACACGAGGGGAGGAGGGTCTCAGAACAGCCCTTGTCCACACAGAATGTGCCTATGACTCACCAGGGACCTTGTTAAGATGCAGTTTCTGATTCAGTGGGTCTGAGGTGAAGCCTGAAAGTCTACATTTTGAACGAGCTTCCAGGTTAACGGCGATTGACGCTAGTCTGAGAGGCCCAAACTTTGAATTGCCAGGTGCTTCATACTGTACCCTGTACACACACACACACGCACGCGCACACACTGACACACGCACACACTGGTGGAGATCAGGGGCAGGTGTTTTTCCCTGGTCTCGCAGAACCGGGCTGCCTTGGGGTGAGGAACTGAATCCTGTTTTTTCTGTGCCTTGGCTTTTGCCCCTCTTTCCACCAGTCTCTACCATCATTCTACAGACTGAGAGAGGACTGTTTGCACATTGAGGAGAACTTCGGAGAGAGGGAAGAAGTAGGTGGTGGCATTCTAGGGGCAAGGGGGTCTTCCTGGTGCTCCTCAGATCCCATCACTAACCCGGAAGGTATGTTCAGGCTCGGGCTTGGGAGGTATCTCTTCCCATTTCACTCACAAACCAAGAAGCAGAAAGAAGAGGTTGGGTTTCTCGCGGGGTGGGTTGTGCTGGGTCCACCCCAAGCCCCCATCCCATCTGAAGTTATGAGTGGGACGGAGTGCAGTAGGGCAGGGCAGAGCTCTGACCAGATTTTTAAGGGATAAGAGGGCCCTGTGCCTTTAAGCTCTCCCTTCTCCCTCCTGCGCCCCCTCCCCTCCCCACCCCTGCCCTCCCCAGGTTTCTGGAGGAACTGAGAGTTGCGTCTTCTCCCTGCCCTGCCGAGCTGCTCACTGGCTGCTCTGGAGGCTGTGCTTTGCGGTCTCCATGGAAACCATTAGTTGCTAAGCAACTGGAGCATCATCTGTGCTGAGCTCTCGCATCTAATTATCCCATCGCAGCAGCGGCGGCCGAGAAGGGTTTGGGGAGCTGCGAGGAGGGGGGGAGGCCGAGCGCAGGAGCAAGAAGATAACTCTTTTAGCAGAGCAGATTCATTGACACACTGAAGTCATTTAAAGCCACAGCACCCCGTGCCTCTGGAGGGTGTCCTCATGGTCCGGAGTAAATGAACCAGGGCCACAAATGTCTGGAGTTTCTCTCTGGGACCCACCCCTTCTAGGCCGTCTCCCCCTTGGATTCTTGATTCTAAACTCATGCAAGTTTCCTCTTCTGCCTCCTTCCTTCCAGGCTCCCTACTCAAGTCAACAAAAACCTATTAAGAACCAGAACTGTGCTAGTTTCTGCCTTCAGGGAGCTTTTAACCTCTCTATTCTGCCTGGGCTAAAAGGTTAGCTCCTAAAGCGGACCTACTCTTTCGGAATTATGGTACTTTTTACTTTCGCTTGAAGTGTGGTAGATTTGCAGCCAGGGGACCTTCGATCAGAACCCAGGTCTGTCTGGTATGTCGATGCTTCTTGTTCAACAATGCCACCCTTCTGCCCACATGTTCTCTTGACTCCACGGGCGTGTGAGCCTCCGATGGGGACAATTGTCCTGTTGATAGGTGATACCATGCAACTTTAGGTGAGTCATTCTGAACCTCAGTTTTCTCCCCTGTAAAATGGGAATACTCATTCCTTCTCAATCATCTAGCAAGATATGACAGGTGTAAAAATGCTTTAAAATAAAGGTGCAGAAGGAATATTGGAGATCATTGTCATAGTCGGTGGGAGCCCTGGGGACTTGGGTTGAGAAGTAATACGCAGTGTTTACCAAATGCTGGTCTGATGGGAAAGGGCCGAGCCTCTATCCTTGAGATCTGAGCAAAAGGCTGGGAGAAGAGGAAAATCTGTGTCACTCAGGGTTGGAAGAGACCTGGATGCTCCTTTTTTTTTTTTTTTTTTAATGCTCCCTATGATATGACCACTTACCCCAAATCTTCTGCCAGCTTTGTGACCTTGGCCATGTTACCTACCTGAGTACTCTGTTGCAGTTTCCCCTTATGTAGAAAGGGCATAAAATCTGTCTCACTAAACTATTATGACCATTACTCAAGCTAATTTATTTAGGCGTGCCTCGCATGATATCTGGTTCAATAAATATTAATTTAAGTAATTCATCTTACCTTCTCCTTTAACCCTTACTGCAGATGAAGTCTAGAGGCTCAGAGGCAATAAATGAGTCTAGAGGCTCAGAGATCACAAAGCTAGTAGGGAATGATGTGGGATAGAGTTTGATCAGGAGAGCTGATCAGAATTTGATCAGTAGAGCATGAACTCTTGATCTCAGAGTCATGAGTTCAAGCCCCACATTGGGTATGGAGCCTACCTAAAATTAATTAATTAAAAGAAAGAAACCGGAATTTGTTTTCCCCATTCTGTCACTGATGCAGAGAAAAACGGTTGGGCAGGAATGGTAATGTGAGCGGGAAGATGACGGAGATGTGAGCCAGCTGTTCCTTGTATGCTAAGCATCCCACTGAGGTCCCAGGCACCCAGGAACTGCCTACTCGCTCGTGTATTCAGTCAGTAAACATTTGTCAAATAACTACTCGGTGGTGGCTGCCATGATGAGTGAGATACAGCGAGGACAAGAAACCATTCTTGCTCTCAAGGTGCTGAGTTCTGGAGAATGAACTGGAGGTAGCCTGGTTCAAATGACCAGGAAGGGGATGGGGCGCCTGGATGGCTCAGTCGGTTAAGCATCTGACTCTTGGTTTCGGCTCCGGTCATGATCTCACGGTTCATGGGTTCGAGTCGTGCATCAGGCTCTGCTGACAGCGAGGAGCCTGCTTGGGATTCTCTCTCTCCCTCTCTCTCTCTCTGCACCTCCCCGCTCGAGCTCTCTATGTCAAAAATAAGTAAATGAACTAAAAAAAAACACCCCACTTTTAATTAAAAAAAAAAAAAGACAGAAGTAGAAGGGGATATTCCAAAAAGGAAACAGCATATGAAAAGGCTCAGAGAAGTGAATTATCTTGACACCTTCTGGGAACTGCAAACAAATACACCTTGGCTAGGAAGAGGTTTTCAAAGATGAGCAGGACAATACCTCTCGTCAGCAACTGGGTCATCTGCCATTGTATCCCACACTAAGGAGCTTGGTTTTTACCTTAAAGAAAACAGAGAGCCTTTGAGGAGTTCTAACTGTGTAAAGAACATTTTGGAAAAGGTGTGGGAGGGGAATGGCAGCAGGTGATGGACTGGCACATTGCGGCAGGGTTAGTCTGTGTGGCCGAGAGAATTCATCAGAGGCAATGGTCATGTCTGAGGCTAGATCATAAAAGGACTAGCACCTCCCTCTTGCTCTCTCTTGGACTGGAGGGCATAGGAGCACCTCTAGGGGAGGCCCACACGGCCAAGGATTGAGGCCTCCTGCCAACATCCAGCAGGCAACCGAATCCTCTAGACGATTAGCCACGAGAATGAGCAAGCTTGGGGCACATCCTCCAGCCCCAGTCAAGCCTTCAGATGACTGTGGTCCAGGTCAACATCTTCACGGCAACTTCATAAGATACTCTGAGCCAGAAC